TTTTTTGGAGAGGAGGAGGTTGTCCTGGCCATGTTTATTATCCAGTATAAACGTTTTCGACCAAACAGTTTTCCAAAAAAATAAACTCTGACTTATTATTTTAAAATAAAATACCACTCAGAGAAAATATGTTTTCGAACACATATTGGCAACTTTTGATGCACGCCCATTTTTTTTTTTTTATCATTTTTCGTTAAAACGTGTACATGTTATACATTCGTTTTTGCAAGTTTGATGTTTATGTGACCATTCTGTTTCTACGTCGGATATAAATAATTTTTTTTTGATACCAGTCGGGCTTATTTTTTTTACCTCTTCAATCGACAACATATATACACAATATACATGGGTATATGTATATTTTGCCGAGTATCATGTACACAGCTCGTTTGTGTGTTTTTTCACCTGGTTTTTTAACAGGTAAGCGCGTTTGTTTACGCAATTGAATAGTGAAAATGTTGTTTACACGTCAGACGCGTTTTCGCCACGAAAACTGCTCGTTTTTTTGCTGTCTCAATCGATAAACCCGACGTTTCACTTTCCGCTCTTTATGTAACCTTACTATAATATGTATACTATTGTTATTGCCGTTTTGGTTCGACGTGCTTATATACACACACGGATACCGTTGCAGCGTCTTATATGAATACGATATTGCCGCGCGGTGATGGGAAAACGGACCACATATGTTCAGACCCCGAGTGAGTCAAGTATACCTACCTATTTGTCTTCTCATCCAAAATATAATTGTGAAAAAGTGGCCGCATTTGACATGAAGAGGTGAATTTGTCTTCTTCGCCGATAAAATATTTGATATCTAAGTGGGTGCTAAGTTCAAATGATCAGAAAAAAATTCTTACCTACTAAAATGCTACGCAATTTTTGACTTGGTAGGTTTGCAAATTTAAAAACGTACATAATTCATATTTATATGAATATGTTATAAATATAACATTTAAATCCTTTAATATTAAAAATAAAACTTGTTAAGTTAAACATTTGTAGATTTATTTTGACCTATAAGGCAGTCAGTGAATGCCCGAAATTTTGATTTTTGAACACTTGTACCTTGGAAACTACTTCATTTAGATATATGCGATTTGGAACACTGCTTATTTTTGATAATCTTGATTTCCTTAAAAAAATCAGTGCTGTAACATAACTAGACTTGGAGATTGTTAAGAGGATCGTAATGATTCATGTACATATTCACCCTGTGTGCTCAGATATATGTTCAAAATACTCTGGTTTATGTGCAAATCCGCATGTACCTACAGGAGTGGAAATTATATTATCGCGTCGTCCTTATAATAATTACAATAATAATATATTATTATTTTGTAGTTAAATGGTCTAAACTGCTGTACACCTCTCCCGTGGCATCGGTATGTAGGTAGGTGTAGACTGTTGGTACCTGAAATGGACCACAAAATATATACCTTTGTGCCCACGTAGTTCGAAACAAGATATTATATAATGTTTCAACGACACAACTACCTAATACTCGTATATCGTAATACGTGCGATAGTAATAATTTCTATGCTAATTAATCGCTACTACAGCTGCCTTAATGCTCGGATATTTTATCTGGCTATTATGAGAAACACCATTGCACTAAAGTCGCGATCAAACGTTAATTATGAAATAATACTCTGGACTGTTGAAAAAATAGACCTGATATTAAGGATAGGCGTGCCATTGTTGTTAAATATAAAGTCATTTAATTTATATTCTTAACTATCGATAAACCATTGTAAACGAAAAAAGATTCAGAGCGAATTTCGGTTATACGAGTACAAAATAGTTTTTGCAGTACATAGTACATACTAACTTACTAGACTCAAGATCTTATTCTTAAAAATTGGAGAAAGTTTTCAGATAGGAAAAAAAAAGTAGAAACCATTTTTTAAATAATGAAATCGTTAATACCATACATTAAATTTGTCTGTTTTTCTTTTACGATATTTCCCTGTTTTCTCAGACTATTATAAAAATAGCAAGGAAAATCAATCATTTAGTTTGCACCAAATAGATTTAAAATGTAACAAATAAAATGTCTTATATTTTTTGAAGGTGTGAGATTTTTGAGAGAAAAGTAATACTTTGATACAATAAAACATACACACACAGTAAAACCAATAAATTCCTCGCGTCGCTCAGAATCTGAAAGAAAGCTAAATAATAATAAAAGAGTATTATAAAAATAGTAAAATAGGATACGTTATGTTAATTCAAATTCCATTGCTATTCCATTTGAAATTTTTTAGAAAAACTGTTCGGTAAAAAACGATTTTTTTTTTTACTCCTTTTTATTATTTTCGCGTGGCAACAATTTCTAGTGGGTCCGTATAATATACGTATTTGTTTATATTTTGTACAAGCCATTATTATCATGCGACTGCTAATTGTTGAGCTATAATATTACCATAAGTCGATATGCCTAACTGTTATCGAAGACGGTTGTCCTAATTAGTAATAATATAATATCTGATTAGAATTTTTATATTATATGAGATTTTCTTCAAGAGAGCCCTTACATTTCAAAGGTATATCGCGAAATCGCGTATTCTTATCATCCACCATAGGTTTTACCATAATCGTATAAATGTCAAAGAATATTTACACCCGGTTATTGATATCGTTGCATAATGCATATGATTACATGACTTGCGTCCCACTACTGTATATCAGTTTAATCATTTCCAGGGGTAATTAACCAAAATTATAATTTTGAATTTCGTAGAAAATATTTTTTAAAACTATTTGCAGTTTACTCTGGCCAAAATTGATTAAGTTTTATCCTCATTCTATTTTAATCATCTACTCATACCAATTAAATAACCTATTAACTGAATTTTTCGAAAAAAAGTTTGGATTGTCAAAAGCAAATATATTTTAAATGTTTGTAACTACACCAGCAAATTTACGTTTAATTTAATAACAAAAATACGTCATAGCAGAGATGTCTTCAAAATGAAATGTTGTGAATCAGTTATATTTAAACTTGCCCACTTTAAAGCTAAAATGAATAAATAATAATAATTTTAATAAATATAAACGTCATCGTGGGCGTGTAAATTAAGCTGTTTTCAAGACAAACTTTTGTGAGGTTTAATATAAAAAAAATCACGATAGAAGTTTTTCAATTTTAACGTACCTACCGGTGTAGTATTTTAATAATATTGAAACAAATGTAGTTAGGTATATGCTCTTGTTGTTGATTAAGTCTTTAGGAAAAAGACGCGAGTATATTTAACAGAAAAACTTGAAATTGGTATTGAATACCGGTTAATACTGGTATATAACCGAAATCGAAACCATAATCGAAACTGAAACCAAAAATACCGGATACCGATTATTAATTAAAAATGTTATGTACCTATTAATTTACCAAAATATTTATCATATTTAGAAAAGCTTAAAAGTAATCTGAGTAATCTGTAGAAATTTCAGCTCTCTACGATTATTGTTAACTGATTTACAACAAAAAACCAAATCAAAAATAATATTATAATGCCGTAATATTTTCCGTATTTCTTACGCTTTTTCCTACTTTCTTAACCACTAACTAGATCTAAAACTCAATAAATAATGTCTTTTTGTTTTTATTGGAGCAAGATTTTGGCAACAATAATAAAAAAAACGCTCACATCGTAGTAAACCCAATACAAAATCCTCCAATTAGAATCAAACAATAAATTACGCATTAATATTTGTCATAATTACTGTTTGACAAAGAATCAATAAACAATTCAAAATGTTTTTTTTTGTTTGTAATCAGCAATCTCTGAATATTTATAGTAAAATGTAAATACCGATTTTACTGGTTTATTAAGGGTTTTAATATTGGGAATTTTAAAAATTTGGAGAGAGATCGTGTAGATTATGTTAAATATAAATATTACATAAATATTGGCCAATAACAATTTCTTTTATTTCTGTGGGTTGGGCCTGGGAGAACGTTGTGCAGTTCCACCTTTATATTTTGCGTTTTTCCGGGAAAACTGACGGCGTTGAACTTGAACCTTATCTGATAAAAAAAAATATAAAAAAATAGGATTCGTCTGAAGAACGAGTGTTTTGTATATATTGTTCAAAGAGGTTGGGCGGGATAGATTTCCAATCTGCGCGGAAATTCAAAGAATTATTTAAAAAAATATATAATATTCACACACAATACCGACCTTTTAGCGCAATACGGACCTCAAGAATATATATTATAATATAATACTATTTATAATCAATGATAATACCTATAGTTTACGTGCAAAGTTTGTTTGGGAATTTCCGGTTTTTGAATCGATGGAGGAAGATATTATAGAGCAGTGGCTTCCAAACTGAGTGCCGTGGCATACTGGTGTGTCGCAAGCATTCACTAGGTGTGCCGCGGTTATTTGAAATTTGTTTTCAAATTGTGACAGACCACTAGTTACAGTAATTTGCTCGTTAATTATAAAGTTGTAACTTTTTTTGATTATGATTTGTTTGAGTATGACTCATCAAGTTTGTTATTTGTTCTAATTTTGTACAAAATATTAAACAACGACAAAAAAAAAAACGTCATAATATGTCGTCAAAATGTTGTCAAAAGCGAAGTGTGCAGTGGTCAAAAAAAAATTTGAAAACCACTGATAGAGAAATATCCTGATGGTCCTGAAAATGATTTTTATTCTTATTTCATCTCGTCATCATATATAATTTTTTCATTTTAAACAAAATGGAGAAAAATTAAAGTTAAAAACAGTGCACTTAGAGCTTAATTGGATAATATGCTAAAATTCACTAAAATCAAATAGTTTATTTGAATAATTATTTTGCAGAAAATAAAATCTGGACTTGTTCTGGGCATGACTTAGAAAATATTTAGGTATTCAATATTATCAACTGAATATATGACATATTTTAAGTGCTTAAATTATGTCCAGACAAACTACATTACAAAAAACAATAATAATAAAAACAATTTTTTTTTTTTCTTAAGACTGATAAATATAATATTGTTCTCTTGTATTTAAACTATACGTATATAGGTACTTTACAATTTGTGTTGCAGTTTTAAAAAAGTGCGTAATTTTAATAATTTAAACACTTTCTGGAACGTTCGTTTTTAAGGGTGGTCCATTGTCATTAACCGTTACAGTCTCATTAGTTTTTTCCGAGGCTTTGTCTAAATATAAAATAGTTAAAAAAGAAAACAAATACATCATTTGTCGATACACGAACATTTTTATACTAAGCGATCATTTATATAAATTCAATAATCCTTACCTTTATTCATTTCCAGTTGTGCTGTTTTTCTTCTTTGTAAAGGATCCGTTAAGGGTGGTTTATCGTTATTAACGGCTGCAGTCTCATCAACCTTTTCCGAGGCTTTGTCTAAGTACAAAATAGTTAAAATAGAAAACAAATTCATCATGGCTTTGTCAAAACACGGACATTTTTATACTAAGCGATCATTTATATAAATTCAATAGTCCTTGCCTTTATTTGTTTCCAATTGTGCTGCATTTCTTCTTTGTAAAAGATCCATGAATCTTTTTTTTGCGACTAGTGCTGTTGCGATAGTATGAAATATTGGGCCAGGTGCTAATTTTATTGCCGATCCCACTAATCCTTTAGCGTTCTCACTTTCTGAAAAAAAAAAAGAAACAAACAATTTAAATAAATATGATATAATACTTATTATATTATATATTATTATTTTCCTGTTGAAATGCATACGTAACATGTGTGTATGTAAGCACACATATTTTTTTATTTAAAAATGAGTTATATTATTTTTGGTTTACAGCTTACCTGGTGAAGTGTACTCTTTCATCATGTCATCAGCTTCTTTTTTAATGCCCGAACTAATACTTTCGATCATCTCATTTGATTTTCGTAGAGCAACTGTGCATGTTGCTGATACTGTGTTGGATATGGTTTCAGATATTGTTGGGTTGTAAGTGCCCTTAGCTACATTTTCTGGTGGGCCTAATTGAAAAACCGAAAAAAGATCAAAAAGCAAATTTTCACATTTCTAATGATTTCACTGTAATATTATAGTAAAAATATGTTCTATTCATTTTTGATAAATACAATAATTACGTAAAATTTTTCTACTTTAACGAACAACTATAAATAAATAATCGTATTATAAGCAAAACGATACTTAAGTACCTTTATTTCATAATAAAATATCATTATTACCTTTTTCATTGTTAATTTTTTTCATTTCTTCCCCGATTTCATTTTTTATTTGGGTCAAATCCATTTCAGGTAAATATTGTTTCATTGTACTCTCTGCATATTGCTTTATTGAGCATAATTTTTTAAAGAGTTCAACATTCAGAAGTAAATCTGTTAATTTTAATTTTTCTTGTGATTGTTCGCCGTATTTTTCTATAATTTTAAGTATAGCTATTTTATAAGGAGTACAAATTTGACAGCATAATATATTAGTACAAAATATATCGCCATTGATGTAACTTAAAAGCAGTATATTTTGTTTTAGATGATTTTTTTATATTTTCAGTTTTATAAGATAAAAAAAAACATTATTTAAATGATTTAATCATACGTATTATGTATAGTTAGTTAAAATACCTACGAATTTTAATTTTTCTCAATTCAGTGACAAAATTATCAATTACAGTGGTCTGTGGGCCGGCTACAAATTTTAACATATCCACTGCAACGCTCGAGTGATCAGTTTGAAATATTTTGGCCATCATTTCTTTATTATTGAGAAAATCAACTATTCGGTCAGTACTTAAACCTATTTTTTCAAATTTGACTTCTTTTTTATCTAGAAAAAATCAAAAATTGTGTTGTAACTAAAGTAAATATAGTATTTATTTTGTAGGTTTAATACTTATAAAATGACCAGTGAACAGAAGTAATATCGATTGAAATTTGAAATATATAATATATACACATCGTAATAACGTAAATAATTATTAAAATCTATTAAGTATTTTTAAATTTGTATTTTATCAAGTGTTTAATTTAATAAAAATAAATATTTTAACGTACGACGTGGAAAATTTTGAAAACCTATTTTGTTAACCAAAAGTTTTTATCGAGAAAAAAAACAAAAAACGGATCTAAGGTAGAACTGTTGTGAATTTTAAAAAAATAATTCTGGTCAAATAAAAACGGACAGAAATTGTAAATTTCGTAAGGAAGCATGAAGGAATCTGATTGTTTTTATAAATAGAAAAAGTGTTTTCCGAGAAAAAAAAAACCAGACATCATGTACGACGTAAAAACCAATGTATTCCTCGTTTCACTCGATTCTAGAATCGAATAAATATAATGATAATATCGATAAGAATATTAACGACATAGGTTATCGTGTTGGTAATTTTAAAGTACCTTTAGGTACTATATTTTACTATCCGTGTTGGCGTTCATTTACATTCGTACTAAATTTTCTGTAATTTGTTTTACAATGATGCTTATTTTATTTATTTTTAATATTGTGTACACAAATTCTACTAGAAATCTTGTTTCAATGTATGAAGTGTAACACCTTTTCTGAAAAGGAAGTTTATCTAACTGATATTTTAAGCGGGTAATTTTTTGATTTTCCAAGCAGTTTTCATAATAATTGTGAAAAGTCGAAAAAATTTACGAAAATAATGCTTTTATTATTTTCATTTTTGTTTTTTTGTTATAATTATGTTCAAATATTTTTAAAGACTTGAAATTTGGAAAAAAACATTTATGTTTGTCTTTTATTGACGTGGTCAAATTTCCAAAACATCTGAGCAATTTTCGATGGTAAGAGATAATGGGTAGGGTGACCAAAAGAGTTACTTTTACATTATAATTAAAAATGTAAAATTTTAATGCTGATTTTTTCTTAAAATAAATTCTGAAAAACGTTTATAATTTCCGAGATATTGTATCTATATAGTCTTATAAGGTGAAATAATAAAAAAATTGGCCATAGAAATATTTATTGTATATAATCGATGTTAAATGGATGCCATATGCGTGTCACTCAGTATTTAAGGGGTGGCCCATTGGACATATTGATGAAATTTTTTAAAATTGATCAACACAAAAATATTCAAATTCATTCTGGTTTTTCTTCGCTTTCATCCCATTTATTTTAGGTCAGCCACTTTCGTTCTAAAAATTCCTCATGACCTGATCTTCTACTACGCATTCACATGCTGTCCTTAATTATTCTCAATCACATCTTCAAACCACGTATTTTTCAGTTTTTCTCTTTACCTCTTGCTTTATTATACACTGATTACTGCTTCAGTTTCTTCTCTCCCGGTACCATGCTTAAATTATCTCAGTATATTTTCTCTACTATCGAAGTTTTACTAAAAAATATCTCTTATGTGTTCTTATCCTATCTTCTCTCGTTATTTCACTCATCCATTTAAGCATCCTCATAGAGATGAGACTGCACTCATTCTCTGTTCTATTTTTGTTCGCCACCTAAAATCCGAACTATACAACTTAGTCAGTCTCTCAAAAGTCACCGTACTAATTAGAATTTGTTTTAAGTCTCATTGAAATTTCCATATCACATAAAACACCTGGCTCTTCTATCTACTTTTTTCAACCACACTTTATCCTTTCTTATACACTCTTACGAGAGCCATCGTTTTTTTGTAAAAAAGATCCTAGAGACTGAAAATCTTAACCTCTTCTATAACCGCTTATTGTTAGTTTTAATGTCCTGTTTCTCCAAACTCATTCTTTGTTTTATTTCTACTTATCCTTAGTTTTTTTCTTAAAATCCTATTCTCCATTCTTCAAGCCTATTGTTAACTTATTCTAGATTTTTTTATCTATTGTCCTCGCATACATCTGAAGTAGGACAATTTACTAATGTCTTGTCTAGAACTTCTCATATTGTTTAACAGAATTATACACCGGCTGTCGAACTGACACAACCCCATTTGTCATATTTTATGACAGATAGACGTACTATGGGAATATCATAATCTCTTTCCACTGCAGGGAGAGCGGATCACGAATATTCTAAATAATTATTATTAATTAATATTATGTTCTATTCTTTTTTTTCGAATACTATATCATTTCGCCACCAATATTTCGCCATCAACGTTTCACCGCAAGGTTATAAGTATACAAATTTAGGTAATTTTTTTTACACTTTTAATCCAATTATGTATTTATAAAAATCTATTTTAGCTGGTCTTGTTCGTGGAGATACCCCCTTCCCCTTCTTCATAGTAATGTCGGCTTGTTCATGACCGAAAGGCCGCGAATGTCCGCCGAGACTTCCAGTAGTATTATCTTGTATCTGGGGGTTCTTCAAGCCCAAGACTTATAAAATATTTTCATTTAACTACTGAATGTTTTTTGTACTGAGATTAATTATATAAAATAATATTTAAATTTAAATTGAATCCATGAAAACTATAATTAAATTATAAAAATTGTGTTATCCAGTAAATTTATATACCAATTATTGAAAAATGAAATGTCGTTGAAAATTACTTTTGTGAATATAACATACAAACATTTACATACAATATGTCTCTGTAAAATCTATTGTTATTTTAGATTCTGACTGGAGCAAAGAAGCTTATGATTTAAAATGATATTTATTATTTTTTTATTTTGTGAACAACTTTTCTACCAGAAATATTTTTTTGATTTACAAGTGTAACCCTTTTTCCAAAAGGAAATCTAACTGAGGTTTTGCTTTTATCATTAGTTTTCTCAATATATTGAAAAAACGGCGAAAATTGGTACAATATTAAATAATAATTATTTAAGAAAATGTTTGATACATATTTTTTCATCACTATATGACATGTACAGGCTGTCTCACAAAGATACTCCTTGAATATCTCCGGAAATAATAAATATAACTAAATTATGTTTTTTTTAATTTTTATATTACTGATAGGGAAAAGGACTACAAATATTTATATTTGAATTAATTTTTTGTTTATTAAAAATTATTAACTAATTAAATAATAACAATTTCTTACCGATACTATCTGGAATCAAATTTTCCCTTTGCACTACCTATACATCATAAAGACATTTTTTTTTCTTTTTCTAATAATAAGGTAATACATAAAAATATACTTACGAGAGTAATGTAAGTAACCAAACATATGAATTTCAAAGCAGAAATCGCCATACCTAGACAAATATAATATTATACGTATATACATTTGTTAGTAAACGTTAATTTCTATTGATTATTATTTGTTACTATCCACAGTATATGTTTTGCTCACACCAGTTGAAGCCAAAACAGAATATCGATAGTGACACGGCGAAAGGGTCTAAGCGACACTTTTGGTTTAAGCGACACGGCTTCACTATTGGATGAAGAAATACGTGTTTCGTCTATTGCGCGTACGCAAAAACAGCTGTGATCATTATTTAACGAATAATTTGAATTTTAAGTTTGGGTTGTAAACGATAATTTTTTTTTGCCTTCTCAATTATAGAGTCTAAACGACAGTAAAAGTTATTTAACAATACGTATTTATATTAAGGACGAACAAAAAAAAAAAGTTAAAATCACAAATAAATGGTTTTGACTTTCCAGAAAACTATGAGTTGTGTCACTTAGACCCTTTTGCCGTGTCACCATCGATGTATTATATTATTTTTAATTTAATACTAATATATAATTAAGTCTCTTCATGGGTCATGCCTTTTTTTTGGGTTATTGAAAACTAAAATGTACTTATTTATGTATATTATTATTATTATTTTTTTTTTCTAAAGTACTGAATCAACTGTACGGTCATATATTATGTCCGTGTTAAGTAGATTATTTGGCCGTTAAAAGTACTGTGTGATGTGTTAATTTGATCGTAATTATCATCTCCCGTCGCGATCACTTGTTAGGTGATCACCAAAAACATAAATGGTGTAATTAATAAATACCAGTAGAACACAAATTTTCTACAAAAGCGTCTTTTACAAATGCCTTTTATAAAATAACCGCTCAGCCGATATAATATAGAAATCCTGACTTTATAAACCCTTTGGGAATTTGTTTGTATCGATAGTACAGTAGGTATTCTAAATATATTCAAAAGAATATTGTTATATTAAATTATAATTCTTTAGTAAAAAATGTTTTATAAATATTATAAAAAGTTTACTAACCTTTCGGTAAAAAATATGCTGTTAAGTACTGCAGAAGATAATCGTATTTCTTTTTTATTATATTTCCTGAAGCCAATGTTTTTAAAACTACATCTGGTGTCGTTTGAAAAATCATACTTTTAGATCTGCTTATTGTATTGGACAGAGAGGAATCGTTAACATCTATAAATAGGACAAAACAATAAATATTATAGAAGTAAGTGTGTCATACACGATAAAATTAATCGTACGACATATCGTACACAAGTTGTATGAACTAGCCGTACGAACTTGCAGTAGGTACGTGATATACCACACACTAGGGGCGTGCTCAGTTTTTTCCTATGGGATGAACTATATTTTGTTTTGTTGACAATCATATATTTAAAAATTTATAAAATATATTTATCGGTGTATACATTGATATTTTTGGAGTAGGTACAAATTACAATGAATGTTATATGTATTAACATACATATAATATATATTATATAAATACCTAATTTAGATTAGAGTAGCGACGAATGTATTGGTTTTGTAAAGATATTGTAGACTACGAGCGTAGCGAGGGAGTAATTTGTTTTACAATGCTGTTTATTTATTTTTATTCTTTGTTCTAGTCTGTGGACACGGTTTTTCCTAGTAAACTTGCTCCGAGTTTTACGACAGTGAAGTTAAAATTGAACGGACTGCTAAAGTTTCAAAATTATAGCTTTTTGAAGTTCTGCTATTATGCAGATATTAAATGTTATGTTAAATAATTCTTTACTGTGTATTCTTAAATATGTTTGTTTTAGTCGTGGTTATACATACCTATTATCGCTTTTGGGGTCACGAGTTCAAACCCGTGTTTCGAAAAAAATTGTTTGCACCTATTTTTTCCCATTTCCCTAAAGAGCGAAAAAATAAATGCATTTTAGATGTACCAGAAATCTTGCTCCGATGTATCAAGTGTAGCTTATTTTTTGAAAGGAAATTTATCTATATGGTACTTTAAGGACAAAATTTTTTGAATTTTCCAGCGGTTTTCAAAATATCTGTGAAAAATCGTGAAAAACAAAGATAAAATGGGAAAATGTACAAAATATATTAGTAAAATATTACGATTTTTTTTTTTTTTTTTAGGCAACTTTTCTACCAGCAATTATGCTCCAAAATATAATTATGGCACTTTTTCTAAAATTAAATCTGACTGGAAATGTACTGTAGAGAGTTCATTTTTGATTTTCCCAATAGTTTTCCTAGAAAATGTGAATAACCGGGAAAAACTTGGGAAAACCAAGAAAAACGCAGGAAAAACTGAAAAATCGGTAGAATATTAAATACATTTTACTATAGAAAATATATAATGCCTATTTAATTGTTTTAATAACCTTTAATAAAACATACATATTATATATTGTTAAAATATCTTCTTTGTCATATTTCCTTTTAAAAAAAGTGCTATAATTGTAAATCGGATTAAAATTAAAATGTAGAAAATTGGTTCACAGGAAAAAAAAAACTGAAATATTACTACATTTCGCACATTTCCCCGTTATTCCTCCATGATTTTTCGTATGGTGAAATTGTCGTACAACAGATTTTCTGCACGTTCAAACTTCTCGTTGTACTACACGTTATACAACAATATCATATAGGTTACGATAATCGTTTGTGAGATCATATCAAAGTTGTACAATCTGTCGTACGATTAATTGTATTGCTTATGGGACTTTCTATTTTTCTACTATGATGGTTATAGTTAAAAGCTACGTGAAAATAATATTAAAATGAAATTTAGATTGACTATAAATATTTTTATTAACAGTTTTAAGAGACCGATAATATTACTCACCGTTCATGTTTTTTATGTTTGCATTTTTCCAATTCGAAACTTCTTTATCAATGTTTGCATTAAACATTTTTAACTTTTCACTAATATTTCTTTGTCCAACTATTCGAAAAGCAGTTACGGCGTCTAATAAAGTTCCGTTTTTGAATGAATTATTTGACATTTGTTCTTTTAGATCTAAAACATCCTGCATTCTTTAATAATATAATAAAAAAAAAAACAGGTAGAAATGGGTATTCCATCTATCTTCGGTAGACTAAAAATGCTCTACTTTGTCACTTCAACCTCTAATTAATAAAAAAAATAGAAGTCAAAATTGAGTTAATTCAGAATTTCATGTCAAACAAATATTTATTTTTTATTTTTGCTGTGGTATAATCATTTCGTTCAGTGTAATACTTTATGATACACAAAATATTTTGTTTTGGTGTTTGACATGTAAGCAAACAAATACTGATTTGTTATATAGAATTCTATTGAAAGCGATTTATTAGGTACTTATATTTTTCATTTACCTATAATTATATTGTTTTAAAATACTGATTTGTCTAGGATTTAGTGGTCAGTCAACAGACATATTTATTAAAGGCATTATTATTATTAAGAAAAATTTTCACATCTAAATCTGATATTGCTCTAAGGTAACTAAATAAAAACCTAAAATCGTTAACTGTTGAAACACCACGACCGGTAAAAATTAAGGAAGTAAAGAAGGTAAAAATGAGAAATGCTATCAGATAGGTTAAATTTTGAAGTAGACACACAGTTACGTGGCACAGTGATAATACATAAAAACTATAATGTAAATTTATAGAACTATGATATTTTGAGAGAGTTAACAACTGTTGAATATTTTGCAAATTACCTATTAATTTTTTGACAACTTACAATATCAGATATAGATATATCAGGTTCTTATAAATGTTTTTTTTTTTTTTTTTTTAAATTAAATTATTTAAAATTTGAATTAATAGAAAAATGAAATATTATTACCGTTTTGACGATTGGTTCTAATTTGTAGCATTTCTGCTAAGACGTCGTTTTTGAATTTTGTTATTTCTGGATGTAAATACGAATCCATGTAGGCGTGTATACATTTCAATCCTTCATTGGTAAGTTCGTCAGTTTTGAATAACTGCTTTAAAGAATCGGAGTGTTGTAATAAAGAATTCAAATGTTCCCCATTTATTCCAATCACACCTCCGTTGCCTAAAATATGCAATTATTTTATAATATAAATAACAGCGTTAGACATTTAGTGAACATTTTAATCAAAAACATCGTATATTAATTGATATTCCGGGAAAACAAAACAGTATTTAATTTAAATGTTCAAATTAAAATTCTTATGGATTTACTATAAAAATAAATTGCATTATAATCTTTGAATTACTTGTAAAATGTTGTTAAAACATGCAATTAAATAAATTACCTTAGTCCAGTATAATGTCCAATTTTACTCGATGTCTTTGAATAATTTTAATTATTAAAAACTAGGTATATAATTATGTATCTTAAGTTAAATAAAATAAGGAAGAGTATTTTCATAAATTTTTTTTTTATTTATAGACATATGCTCTTACTATCATTTGCATTTTTATCCACTTCTTTCATTAGTTTGTCCAATACCTCGGTTGCTTCTACACCGGCCACGACTTTTAGAGAATCGATGGCGAGATCACCAAGTTTTTCATTATTCAATAGAGTTTTTAATTTTTCAGGATCCTCAATTGTTGATGCCAGATTTAACTTACCGAGTACCGCAGCTGGTATCTTAGAGCTATCTTTATCTGAAGCTTTAGATTAAACAGTTGGTATTATTATATTAGTAATGTGTTTTTGTTTGTTTCTGAATAACATTTTTAATAGAAGTCTTAAATTTATAGACAAATATTCTACCAATATTCGAGCTATTTATAGTTTATTTATAGGCATTACATATGTTCGGGTTTTTTAAAATGTTTACCTGGATAAAGTTTTTGGTCAGTCAGAAATGCTTGACAATTTTATAATTATTAAATATCAGTAAACAATGTTACATTTTTATTATATCTATACGCGCACTGAACGTCTGTTTTTAAAAAAATAATCACTTAATATCTACATTTTTTTCAAATACAATGTGAAAAAAAAACGAATTTTATTGAAACTTTAGCTTTTTGAATATGTTGGAGAAATCGTTTATTGTAACACCTACTATAGTGATTAACCGGTTTTAGTGATATTAAATTGAAGGTCCTGAAAAAATTCTTACGTTGTTTGAACTAATTTGTGTCGATTATTATGACGTCTATATAATGATTAAACGAATATTATGATGGATATTTTTGGTAAATATTGGAAAAATATTTTATCAATAATAAAAATAATAATTTAACGTTGTTTTAAAATTATACCGTCAGTGAAGTTCGTGTATTCGATAGTAGTTAATATACGAAAAATGTGTATTCAATATACAGTTTACACAATTGTGTGTTGAATTGAATAAAATGAGAAAACAAAAGCATTTTACAGTTGAAGAAAATGCAAATGTCATGTTTTATTTCAAAATAATTTGTATACAAAAAAATGATACAAATAGATTTTTTAATATGTAATAATTATTATGCAAATACTTATTATTATATTTAGATCACGGTTTAGTGATACTAATATAATGCGGTGCATTGCACCACATCTATCTTAATTTTTTTAAATTAATTTTTGAATTGATTTTTGTTTTTGATGCTTGTAAATTTAATACTAGGTTCAGAAGTTTAACTTAGTGCAAAAAAAAAAAAAGTCGGTGTTCTAATTTTTAAATTTTTTTTTGTGATTATTTTAATTGACAAAAATTCGTAAAAATGAACGCATTGTAAGGTATTTATAAACGAAATTCACTCAGAATCGTATCTCGTTACCAATGATTTATCATTACGTTTAAATATTAATCAAATAATTTTATGTTCTCTACTTTCACTTCTATCAGCAGTATCAGCTTTTTTTTCTTTGAATTTACTTACCTACACCCATGTACATATTTTTAATTTCTACTTATTGTATGTATTATTAACAGGTACAATATAATTCTATATAATAAAATGTAACACTTACCGGTCACCGTAGGCGCGTTTGCTCTTTGTAAAGCCTAGGTGAACATTTTTATTTATATTTAATAATATATAATATACCTAGGCATTTATTGTTTTTGTATAATACAATATCGATACTTACAAGTGCAATATAAGGCAGTGTGGATATTACATTGTACACCGATAAACCTAAGTATTAAAAAAAATATATACATACAAAAATAATTATAGTGCAATAAGTCACTTAAATTGCATATTGAAATTTCCATTTACTCACCACCGGATTGCACCAGGGACATGAATTTTGGTAATAAAAACCCATATTGACTGTTAAGTTCATATCCTTTTGAAATCATTCTAAAAGCCGTAAATAACTTATTTAAAGTTGCTCCACTAATAGGATCCCCAACAAGTGCAACGGCAGTGGATTTACCATTATCATTGACTGTGTTTTAAAAATGTAAAGTTAATATTAATTTTGAAATAATATAATTGGTGATGGGAATGAACACATTAATATGAACTCGTTAATTTTGTGTGAACTGAACATGAACTACAAATTTATAAAATATATGAATCTGGATTAAATATCTATAGCTATAAATAATCGTAATAAATTCCATGGCTTGTATAGAGTATAAAGTATATTTGTTAAAAATATTTCAATGATTTAATATATTATTATTATTTCTCAGAAGATATTTTTACAATTATTCTTATTTAGAAAAATGTAAGTTACCGTTAAGCGTTCAGTATTTATATAGATTGTTGTTCAAAACCCAGATACGATAAATAAATAATTATTTTCAAATTTGTCATTGTGATCTGTTATATTAGATATTTATGACTTCATAATTATTCATACATTTTGTGTCTGTAGTAATATTACGAGTATATTATAGCTCGTCAGTTTTCAAATATAATTATAAAGTAGAGTAGATGCCATTATAATTAATAATTATATTTGTTAAACAGAGTTATTAAAATAAATAACAACATTATATACAAATAATTTACTCTTATTTGAAATTCATGAACTAAAACTTGAACTAGGTATATAGCTCATATTATTTAATGACTGGAACTCGTACTTGAACCAATACATTTTTAAAAAGAAATTCCCTACCATTAATTATAACGTATGCTGTTAATATTAACAAATCTTAGTAAGGATTTTAAGTTAATTGTGTATTTTGTATTATTTTTAATCAATTATATTTAAATGTATTTTATAGAAGTTGAGTATCTACCTACTATACATAGGTACCGTGGTTAGTGAAACGAAACGTCTTTGAACTATGATTTAGTTAAATCTTCATTGCAATCTTAATTTATATTTATAGTTTGTATTTATTTTTCATGTTTACATCAAACAACGTCCCTTGAAATCAACCTAATCAGTGGATGGCTTTGTCCCCCACTCCCTTCCCCCTCACTAATGTTTAAACATAATTCAATAAATATTAATTTTTGAAACCATACTAATAATACTGTAGGCCAACTTATTGCTAACATAATAGATAAAATTTATCTTAGATTCTACTATGATATTACTATGATACGTGATTTTGTTATTTTTTTTTTTATGTACAAGTATGAACAACTTTATAACCAGAAATCTTGCTCTGATAATCAAATTTAGAGATGGTTTCTAATAAAAATGTTTGTCTCATTGGTGAATTGAGAAGGTTATTTTTTTTGATTTTCTTTGTAGCATTCTTAATTTAGAGGAAAATCCTAGAAAATATACCTGGAAAACTTTTAACTGTATAATTTCCACAGTAATGGTTTCTGTTATATTTTATTATATTTATTTATTAAAAAATAATTGGAAAGATTTATGTGATTCAAATTGTTTCGGATCAGCGAAAATTTTCGAAAATTTAACATAAGGTTTATCATGAGTTGTAATTACTGGAAAAAAAGTTCAGCGTATGGTAGTTAGGTTACTAAAGGTAACAAAATATGTAACGTTCCATCCGTGATGGACTCAGGGATATGGATCGACCTGTCGTTCCCTCCACCCTTGTATCTGCCACTGAGTCCGATGTGTTCCACTTCAAACAAATAGAAGATAAATGCAATAATTTCTCAAAAATTGGTTGAAATACTCCGTCCCTCTGAATCCCCCAATTTGAGCATTAAGTATACATGCATTGCATACTATGCCTAATATTATAATTAATAAGTATTAATAAATTGATATTAAAATTTAACGAAAAAAAATTTTTTTTTTAGCTCGTTAGTTCAATAAGGGATTACATATAGTCGCTGATTATAATAGTAATGCATTTTTGGAATGCTTGTTTATGAGGAATAAAGAATTGCATGTAATCGAACGCATGTTAACATTTTTATAATGTAAGTATTTACTAGGGTGTGCTAAAAAAAAAAAAATGTTTTTTCACAAGTATACCTTTATTTTAAATGTTCAGGTGCTAAAATACCATGGAGGCTTATTTCTTAAAAAAAAAATTCCATTTTGTGAGTATTGATTATACTTGAATATCTTAGATATATATAATTCGTTTTTTTTATATTTGAATTATCGCTGACTAAAATATGACATAAAGGGAAATCATCAGAATACAAAGAGTAATAAATAAGGTCCTATGGTTGATAAGAAGAAAATTATTCTTGACAAAAATATTGGCCGCAAAACACAAAATATTACATTACAAAAATGTGTTCAATAATTAGTTCAGATTGATCGTTCTTTAAGGTTTTGCAATTTTTTACGTTTCGTAGCTAATGATTTTGTTAATAGTTTTTTACTCACAAGGTAAAAATATTTATTATACTTAAGAATGGAAATTTACCATCGCTGAGTTTAATTGTAGATGGTTTCATCTTATTGTTGCTATCATTTGTAGGATTATTATTACTTGAATCAATGATCATATGGTTATTTTCTGCCAGAAAATAAAAACATAATTCTTTTAACTTGGCATAATATTTAATAATTTATGAGTATTAAACAAGTACTATTTAAAATAAAAATGTAAAATATTTACTCATTCAAAATTTGATTAAATTAGGATACAATATTATTTAATATATGTGATATTACTTGTTAGCTGTTTGTGATCAGGTGCAAAGTAATTACCTGCTATACAAATATTTTATTGATTGAATATTACAATTTTTAATTTATGTACTTATGTATTATTATACGTCATTATTAAATAAATGTTTACTATCTAAACCTATAGGTACCTGATTGAAAAGTATCAGTTTCTTCTTCTTCGTGGATGTTTCTAGGATACATATTTTTATGTTCATTTTGTGATGCAGCTATAAGAAATAAATAATATTTTTGGTTAATTTAGTATTCTAAACATAGTACCTTTTTATTATTTCTAACGCATTGGCAATTCTTTAATTTGTATGTTGTAGGTAATTACTATAACGTGAAACACTCATTATTTCGTAAAACATTGTTGTTAAAAAAAAAATTTTATAATTAAAATTGTATTTTATATTTTTAAATTTACTTCCATCATTATATACATATTTTTCTATTTTAAAATTTTTAATGTATAATCATATGTTTTACGATAAACTAGGTATACATTCATAATACATTTATCAATATACATACTCGTACTGTATCTGTCTGTGATTTTAGAAACCCTAACTGTCGAAGGAGGAAGAGATATTCTTCCCATGACTTTTTATCCTTCAATATTTGTAAAACTAATTAATGTTAAATATAATAATTATTGTTATATTATTTTTGAATCTGACGCACCTTCCCACCCTTTTCATGGGAAAATCATTTGACTGCCACAGGTTAAATATTCATCAGCGAAATACGTGTCATATTAATAAAATATTATATATTTATCTATGATAAACGTTAGAAATCAATAATTTCGTAGATTCAGTTTAGTAGATATTACTATATTTAGTAGGCATCGGGCAACTATATCACCAATTTATAATCATGGTCATAACTTTACTAACAAGAGAGTTGGTACTTTTTTTTAAAAGGGATTAAAAAGAAAAAAAATGATAATGTGGAATTTATTACAATATAATAATGCTGGAACTTCATAACTTTATTCTGAAATAATTTTTGGTAAATGTGAAATAATTGATGGTAAAAAGAGGGTTAGATTGTGGGTGTTACGAGGGTTTAGGGTTAAGCCCATTCTAGAGAAAATTGGAGAAGGTGTAGTAGATCGTGATAAGGGGGTAGGATAAGGTTAGGTTTTGTCCACGAGTATTTTTAATTTGTCACGGCCTTGTGCGATAGTAAAACATATATTTTGTAAACTACATATTTTTGAAAGTTTGTAATTTAATAATTACACAAGGAGGTAGGTATCAAGTCAATGATGTATTATACAACTATGTATAATTCACAGTACCTACTTATAAAATATTAATCAAGTGACAAATATATTAAATAATTAAATCACATTTTATCTTATTAAAATTATTGGTTATTATTTGTTTATATTTATTTTTATGGAAATATCAGATGTTTGTTTATGTTAAGTTTGGATCTTTCTCTTGAAACGATTTTGTTCAACTTCGGAATTTTCCGGGGTTATCCGGGCCTGATCGATTTGCCTGACAAATGGTGGAACGGTTCTTTGAACGATTTCATTGACAACATGTGGTTTTTGACCTGTATAAATAAAAAATGTCTATTTATGGTCCCTTCTATGTATGAATGTACGTATGAATGTATGTATGTATGTATGTATTTTTGTATAATATTTTACTATATCAGTATATATATATATTATATACAAGGGGGTAACTCACTAACCGTGGTCACCACTTTTTTTTTGGTTACATTTTGCATATATCCAAATTCTGATTTTTGAAATTTTTAAGTGTTGTTAAAGGCGCTATCTTTGAATACTTAGATTTTTATAACATTTAAGGAGTATTCTGTGATGATATCAATTTCGGTGTTTCAAATGAGAATCTATGTTAAAAATTCCATAAATAGATGGTGTACTACTTAAAATACATTTTGGTTTTAAAGTTCGGGATTTCTGTCAACCCGTTGACGAAATATTTAACTTTTAAGTTTAGACAAGGGGAGTAGTGGAGTATAAAGAAAACGCTACGCACCATGCTGCCACAAATGATACTCCAGTACTTCTCCCTATCTAAACTTAAAAGTGAAATATCTCGTTAACGGGTTGACGGATATCAAAAATGTTGACACCAAAATTTATTTAAAGTAATACTTCATCTATTTTTGGAATTTATTTTGTGTAAGTTTTCATTTAAAAAAACAAAGTATTCAAAAATTTCGGATTTAACAACAGTTAAAAATTCCAAAAATCATAATTTGAATATATGCAAATTGTAACCAAAAACATGGGGTGAGCACGCTTAGCGGGTTACCCTGTATAATATATTATAAACAAACATTAATTCTGGTAGAGGTTATCAGAGATGGTAATGAAAAAATAAAAATTGTGGCCGAATTTTAACTGGTGTAATCAGTTAGACAACACGATTTTAGTTTTTTTCTAATTGTAAAACCTAACAATTTTTCGATTGGTTTCTGCGATTGTTAAATGTAATTAACAAATCTAGTCACTGGTCCATACAAATTATTTAAATATATGTATATTTATTTTACTAGAATATTACACGTACGCATATATTGTGTATTTTTGAAAAATTATTTCTATTAACCGAGCTCCATTCAAAATCGTTTTTCGTTAGCAATGATTTATCATTGTTTACAGATATACATTAAATTCCCCTTTATATCCTACCTTCTTAACTTCTTATCTACAACAGTCGTCCACCCATCATACGAAGTATGTCCGCCTTTTTTTTTAATACAAATTTTAAAATTTAATATAGTGTATTACAGAAAAAATAGAAAATAAATAAACAGGAAAAAGTTTAATTTAAAAGGAATATTTTAAAAGTAATATCGGAAAAATAACGGACATCTAATCTTTCTAATAGATAAACGGGTAAAATAATTTAGTTTGTAATAATATTACATTATTCATAAGTGATTAAAAATTCGTAATTAATTATTTTAAAATTTGTTAATTTTCATTCAAAATTGTATTAAAGATCGAAATATTATTAAAATACAACTATTTGTTTACGATGAAACATTTTTAACTACTTGTTCAAAATAATTAACTAATTAAATATTATATTTAGTTCTTATGCATTTTATTAATTTATAAGTTTATTAAATAGTTTATGTCTTAACGGTTGGTGTGCAAAAATCAGTTTTTGTTTTTCCACGATTCACTTCAAGCTCGCTATGTTTTTGTAGCTACGTTACTAACAGCCGTATTTAAAATTATATTTACTTGGTACTAAATTTTAAAAATTTTAAAAAATTAATCATAAAGTACCTTTTTCATTTCTATATTAAATTCAGAAATTGTCTAAATTAAAAAATCTGAATTAGACCAATGTTTTTTTTTTCATTATCCACTGCATTTATATTAAAAATAAAATATTATATCTATTTCCTATAACAACATTATATTTACTATATTTAGACACTTATAATGTATTATTATTTGTTAGGTACTACTTATTATATTTGTACAGTATTTGAGTGATTGACTTTATGGGGTAAAAGTAAAGCCTTTAAAAGTTAGTCTTCAATTGTTTTTAACAAAATATCAATAAGTGTTAAAATTTAAAGTAAAAAGTAACTTAATTGTCTCCCTGCCAAATTGTAACAAGATCAATATTCATAGTTTTTTCATGAAAAGGTGACAAAAACAGACAGACACATTTTTGAATTTTTAATAAATATTATAAATTAGTATAAAATAATAATATGACAAGAGGATCAACAAAATGAAAGACACCTTTTATTTCCATCGAAATATCCATTTTTTCGGAATTTGTTATTTATAAATTGTAAGGAACAAGCCACTTTAAAATGTTAGGTTAATGTTATTTTTTGTCACCCTAATTTTTGATTGTGTAAATATTAAATCTATTTGACTTTTAAACGACAGCCTATATTACAAATTCCATAAATAGAATGACGTATTAATTTAAATATATTTTGATTTTGCCAACTTATTGACGAGATATTCAATTTTTAAGTTTGGTTTCTGGGGAGCAGTGGAGAATTATTAGTGTGGCGTCGTGTATGTGATATTTGAATAGTGTTCTATTACACCCAGCCTAACCAAATTTAAAAATGGAATATCTCAACAATGGGTTGACGGAAATTAAAAATGTTATCAGCAAAATGTATTTAAACTAATATTCCATCTATTTTTTGATTTTTAAGATAAATTATTACTCAGGGTGATAAAAAAAAAACACAAATTCAAAATTTTAGATGTACATATAACTTACAATCATTAAAAACAGATTCTGAGAAAATTAATACTTTCTGAGATAATGACTGTCTTAAGTTATTTTAATCATCATGTATAATTTGCGTAAAAATATTCCTTATACCATTAAAATCATGTTCATAAAAAAATATTAATTATAAATCAAATATTAATTAAACATAGTATCTTACCAGGTACTGATTTATCCTTTAGTAATTGTCCTTGAGCATTGGCATTTCCATTTATGCCTGTGTAAAATATATTAAAAACATTTTTTCCATGTTTAACATAAAGATAAACAATGATATGTGTTTTTTAATTTTTTTTTTTTTGAACGACTGATATATTTTGGTCAAATTAAATGAAAAATGAAAAATGACGGTGAAAAAGACCTAACACTGGGAATAATTGTGCTATTGTTTTATGTAGAAAGTTTTGAAAATAGAATACATAAAGTTATTTGATTTGTATCTTTATACAATGATATGACACTGCAAAATTCGATTCAGAGCGAAGTTTTTTTTGAAATTGTTTGAAATCCAGTACTTTTTATGATTTTTATCAAAAATTTACCTTTAAACGGTTATATAGAAAACTACTAAATAATGCTCAAATTTTTTTCTTGACTACTAAGCTAAACATAAAATTAACATTTTATTAAATGTTCAAGTATTTTTATTCAGCTAAACAATTTTATCCACATTAAACTAAGAACTAAAAAGAATTTTAAAATGTCAAGTTTCTATAAATAACTCAAAAATTGCCAGGAAATTTTAAACACCATGTTTGATCATATCTATAAAAGGCTAATTTATGAATTCTGTGAATATTTCAAGTATCTATGGCAATTTTTAACTGAGTTAAAATAAAAATACCTAATCAAAAATAATGAAATTTTCATTGTCATAAATTTATCAGATATCCTTTATGTTTTTTTTTTCAATTACCATTAAAACTACTTAAAGAATTAAAAAAAAATCCAAAAATGCCAATGACCACCTGGAGTATTTTGTTGCTTAGTATGTTGTTTAATAGTTTACGTAGGGTTTAGCAGATTATAATCCGTAGAAATTTAGTAATCAGCCTTTTTTATTTCAGTGTCAGTAAAATCTTTCACAAAGATAGATTTTAGTTCAGTATTACTATTTCTTTACCTTAGTTCGGTTTTAATTTTTTTTTTTGTTATAAATTTTATCTATTTTTGCTCTAGAAGGTTCATTTATTCGGTTTGAAAATGCGTTTGGCATGGTCAACGTGGTTGTTTTTCTTTTTTCTGGGGTTGATTTTCCTTAGCTGATTCCACGATTTTCTTTCGTTGTCCGTTTACGCATGGCCGTCACGTTCCCGCTTGCTTTGGTGCTGGACCCCGTGAGCGCGCGAACTCTCGTCGCCCCGACATCATTCACGACGGTGTTAAGATTCGTCCTCAGTTTGTGATCCAACGGCGTCGTCCACAATCACAGCCAGTAAAGCCATTCACGTATTATATTTTATTTTAAATATTTATTTAATTTAGTTATTACGGTCCGTAGTTTTAAGGTTCCTTTAATAAAAATCGGCCTGTCCTTAATTCAGTGAAAGTCGTCGAGAACCAGTCCATTTGTTTTTGCTGGAAGCCCATTCTTGTTTCTTGTTATGAAACTGAAATTGGGGTTATAATCTTTTTACCATCATAAAGATTTAAATGTTCTTACACCCTTTAACTCAATTATAAGAGCTACATTTTTTTGTTTTATCCAATTATTTAGTGTGTTCCTATTGTCATCATCAGTGCCATAGCCCCATGTATTACGGTAGCTATTAAAATCGCCGATAATAAGAGTAAGGTGCTTTGCGTGGGGAAAGGATGTATCTTTCAACTTCTCACAAAGTAGTTTATTATGTTGATTTTTCTTATTCTTACATGGTTAAGTGAGATGTTATTAGTTATTGTAGTGCAAATGCGTTCCTAGTTAGAGATATCACTTCCGATGTATGTTGCTGCAAAATTGTTGCGGTTCCGTATTTGTTGTAGTATGTGGCACGCTCTTATCTAAAGCCAGTAATATTGCCTCTATATTTAGAAGATCATCTTCTTTTTAGGGATAGGTTTCTTGTAGGAGTAGAACTTTTATTTTGTTGTTATATAGTAGTTTGGATAGTTAATTAGTTTTATTATGGCTGTTGCCCTTTATGTTATGTTGCAAGACATGGAACTGGGGTCCAAATCTCGAATCTGGTGGTCCTGGCAAGGGCCATTTTTAGGATGGTTATGAATAGCTGGGTGAATGGTTTGCATCGTCGTGAGGTCTAGGGCAGTACGATAGCCAAGTTTGGTAAATCTTAAGCCTTTTAGGACGTTATTTGGGGTACACTACGCGTGGTAAAAAGGTAATTTAAATCGAGACTATAATTTAAGTATTGTTTAGAAATATATTATATAAATATTACCTAATACGAAATTTCTTTAAGTTTTTTGTCATAGAAATATTTTAGGTTTTTAATTTTTCAGCGATTAACGTGCTCAATAATATTTTATCTAATACGTTCCAATTATATTACAATATTTTATTGGGTTATATCTCAATGGTTTATGTTAATGAATCAAATATTGAGTTTTGTAATGGAAGAGCCAGGTTATATGATATTATAATTGCGTACTCACTCATCGAAGCAATAAATGTCACATCTTGCAAACCCTGTAGTTAAACAAATTGAATTGACTTATTTTTGTATATTCATATAATCTAATATTATTATAATACTTACGAGCAATATACATGTTATTAACAATGATGTATTCATCGCAGTAGCTGAAACATTAAATTGGTATTAGGTGATTATTAAATACTCTGTATTATCTAGTTTATTGGTCCAACAATTTTTGTTTTGTTTACATAAACATTTAATTTTGTTTTTGAAATTTGACAAATAGACAAAAACATTAATTATATATTTCTATATTTGATATTAATTTTATAATTGTGTATTTTTTTGTTAGGTTGTAAATTTGTGGTTACATATTTTATTATAGTTACATTATTGATACGTATAATTAATTGCATTATTGATTAATGCAGTCATATTCCAAACGAAATTTAAATTTTATAACGAAATATAAGTAACAAATTAGTTAGTTAAAGTTTGCATACTTGTTATAGCTGATTTTTCGAATATATTTCGTATTTTTACAAAGAGTAAATGATATTAATATCTTTAACTGTATTTGATTTTCTTGTTACATATGTTACATATATGCATATTATGTATATACATATATATTTATACAAATAAACGATATAATAGATGCCTATAAAATTATCCTAATATGTACTTATTTCTACTTTTGCCTAGTTAAAACTAGTTTAAATTATCAAAATATAAAAGTTACGGACTTTTACTAACTAGTCAATACTGGAAATGACTAAAGGAATTTGTCGAAACTAGTTTTGACGGATTTCGGGTTTTAACTGTAACATGTATATTTATATATATATATATATATATATGTAAACATATACACATATTGTAAATGGTAAAATAATTGGCAATCTCGTTCTGCCGAGAATATTGGAATTAACATAGTATAGCACCTACTTCAATAAATAGGTATAATAATTTTAATATTATTTCATTAAATTTGTATAGGTACATCAAACCTCAATCATATAAATTAGAAACTAACCTTTTATTTATTGGCGGAATCTTCAAATACGTGTTTGTAGTTTATCAAAGTCCTGACTTTTGGCACGGAGATAAATATTACACATAAATAAGAAATAACAACTTGTGCTGTATTAAAAAATAATGTCTTAACGGGTAACTTATAAGTATCTAATCTAATACTATTTTACTAGTTTCTAACGTTTCTACGTTTCGTTTAGAATAAATTGATGTTTTATTTTATTTTATAATTTACGTCTGTTATGCAGATTAGTGTAAATCGTTAGAACATTTTTTTTTTATTTTTTTTTTTTAAACAATTATTAAACAGTTTCTACATTATTCACATAACAGATTAAAGTTAATTTACAAAGTTTTTTTTTCATACAATAAACACCAATAAGAAGAATACACATCACTATTTGTGTAACGGTTTATCTAACGTATTAATTGAACCGCTGTACTTTTTCATAATTTGTGTGAACCGTTAGGTTTAACTTAGGTTAGATAAGGTAAAATAATTAAAAAATTTAAATGAAATCCGGGAAGCTTCCTGAAAATAAACTTGTCACTATGTTTATAGTTCTATATATATATATATATATATGGCTATTTCAGCATGCATTTATATACCTATGTCGGTATACAAATGCATTTTCATCAAACTTTAGAAATATTTCAGACAATTCTTCATTCCCAACCTTCTAATATCCCTTTATCGAGAACTGTTGTATTTATTCTCTAATGTATTTAACGAATTCGGCTGGTATATCGTCCGATCCCGGTGCATTATAGGTTTTAAATTTTGTTGATTTCTTCCCAAATCATTTTACTCATCAATTGTTCGACTCGCTGAATATTTACCACTCTTATTAAGTATCCACGTTCAATTTCTCAATGAAATACTTTTTCTATCTTTAAGCTTCTTCCTCTGGATACAAAAATATTTCAGAATTCAGGGTTTTTATGGATTTCAGCCCTGGAGTAAAATATTAGTACTGTCTATTAATCTTAAAAAAATCCCAAATACTCGTACTACATTGTTAAATGATCTTGATGGCTTCTTGCAGCAATACATCATTTAAATAATTTCTTTTAAATTCGAAGTGCAGTGAGCGAAGCCAGGAATGTATTTGTTTTACAATAAGGTTTATTTTAATTTGTTCATGACCATATGGTAAATAATAAACATGAGATACTTATATAAATTAAATTTATTTACAATAAAAACATTTCGGGTGGGGAAGTTCAAACCCCCAAATCTCCCTATTTACGGCCATGCAGTAGGGGAAATGTAACACAACCATAACTTGAAAATTTAGATTATCTGAGTTAGAAATTTAACGATGATTTAATTTTAAAAATGAAAAAATTTAGAATTTATTTTTTTTTTTTTTTGGATTCAAAGTGGACCGAAAGAACTATTGATGTATGTTTTTTTTCTATCTGTAAAAAAATTGTTGATGTGTCAAGTGTGGTAATTTTTCTGAAAGGAAATTTTATCTAGTTAGTGCATTGGGGAGGCCGTTTTTTGATTTCATAAGAGGTTAACAAAATAATGTGGAAAAGTCGCAAACAAAATTATAAGTAAAATATCAAATATATACGGCCCGCCGTGGCGTTACCATTTTCATTGTATTTAATTATTTCAAACTATTATTTCCACCAAAAGTATTGCATTAATAGAAAGGCTTCAATAAAATAACTTTTAGTTGAATTTTAGTTCTTAGTACTTACGTATAAAGTTGTATTTTGATTTTCTATGCAGTTTACTGAATACTGAGCTAAACCGATTAAAAAGTAGAAAGAACAGGAAAAATTACGGGAATAATGATTTCATTATTTTAAATTTTGTTTTTTTTATTGTTATTCGGTTAAAAATATTCGTAGAGATTTGAAGCTTTAAAGGATAAATTATATTTATATTTTCTAAGCGTAGTCAAATTTTAAAAAACATTTTAATATATATTAAGATATAGATAAGCATTTTATTTTGTGAGTTTTTTATGTAGATGTTTTATTTTTAGTGGGTCGGTAAAAGGTGAATATCATTGTTTGACCTAAGAGAAATGCTTAGGAGTTTAACATGTTTATTAAGAGCTAACTGAACAAAAAAAATTAAAAGTAGACTGTAATTTAGTAATTAATTTTATTATTTTTTGATAATTGTTCAGATGTTCAAATTTTAACGAAAATCATAAATAATACTGCCTCACGATTTTATACATGTATAAACAAACTTCGATTACAAAGTTAAAACCGTTTTTCGTTAAAAAAGGGAAACATTGCTTACAGATTTAAATTAAATAACTGTATGTATCCTACATTCCGAACATCCCACTCACAAAAGTGGATCATCCAGTGGTCTAGCCAGTAAACAGGCCTGGTTATAATTGTTTGATACCTATATTTCAATATGATTGGGACTCTATATTTTCTATCATCGTACAGTTTAATATGTATTATCAAAGGATAAAAAAGTGGACTCTGGTGTCCACGGTTGTAGATGGATGTATACTGACGGTAGTATTACCGTTAGTGTACCAAAACGTCTAGTACATTTTACACTATATATTATGTACGATGGCTAATAATATTAAAATCTTTTATTTAAAATAATTAGAGATAGTCAAACAGTTGCCAATTCGTGTGAGAGCTTTATACTAAATAATACATTTGTGAATGATTTACTGACAGTTAATAGTAAACGGACACTGACCAACAAATTGTATCAGTGTGATAGTGTAAATTACGGACAAGTAGGACTTGGATTGGATCACTTGACAAAAGATATAATAAATATTACTACAATGCATCATTTTATTATTGATTATATATTTACATACATTATATGAATAACATTATTATAATTTTTTTTTTAGAATTTGATAAAACAGAGAAATATGTAATTATATATTTATCATATGTATGAATTCGTTTTTATTAAAATATAACATAATAAACTGTGACATAGATGTCTTCATATCACTTAAAGTTGTTTGAACTATAACCGCATATTTTATAAACTATTGAAAAATATAATAATTTGCATTATTTCAGCTCATTTTAAATTTTCTGTCGATTTCAATGGTCAACGGTCTAAAAATAAAACTAAAATTATCCACAAAATAATTATATTTTATCTTTTTATGTGTCACATATTATTTTATCGTTATAATAAAAAAATACAATTTTTAGAATATACAATATTTGTTCATTAAAATGTATTATTAGTATTACAAGGTAACTCGAGATTTTAAAATATAATTATTGTACTGCATTGTTTCTGTTATTATATATATGTACGTTTGTTATTAAACCTAAAGGTAATACAATAATCTATATTGATTGTACGTTGATTCTTTTTCGATAGGTATTTTAATTTTCAAGTGAGTTTCGAATGGATGAAGCATTATCTAGATTTTAAAATTTTAGAGGTTACCTTTGGACCAAAGGACCTCAAACTCGGGATCGCCAAAAAATAATCAAGTACTTGGTACACAATAATCAAATATGGTATCTCTTAAGTCTACCCAAATCGATTAAAATAAACCGTTTTATCATAAAAATCGTTCTAAAAGCTTCTAACCGATTACCATATGATTAAAAACGGTGTCGAGCTTTTGTAAATTATTAACACACATCGGCGATTCCAGTAGAAAAATTATGATTTTTAGACTTTAAGAAATGATTGATCTCTAATTATAAAGTTTGTATGCATTTACTTACATTAATTTTTTCATCAGTATCTGCTTCTATAAGAGCGAACAGATTTACTTATTATTCTTGGTGGAGGTTGATCGTCATAATAACTAGAACTACTAGGATTATATGGATATTCTTCATTGGCTGGATATGGCGCTTCTTGGAGGTAATCCGGTCTATAGGCTGTATGGGCCCATTATAAATTATCAGATTATATTATTAAGTATTATTTTCAAAAACAATATTTAATGTATTAAAATATTATCCAAATTGATCTAAAACTATTCTATAAAATATAATTGTTTGAGAAAACTAGACTTTGAGTGTATTTTGAAGTTATATATTGGTAACTACAGATAGCTATTGGGACGTAGGAATCCGCTAAGAAAGAGATTTTTGAATATTCAACTCCTAAAGGGGTATATTAGTGGTTTTTGGATATACTCGGTAGGAATATCTGATTGTACATTTATAATTTTTTATTATTCTAGAATTAACATAGTGTTACGGTATATAAAACAAATATAATTATTGTTATTACTATTATTTACACTATGAAAATTTCACAATTGATCACATTTATTCTGCCAAAGGTAGTCTACCCACTTTCCACCGATTTGTTTTCATTCAATTCTTACCCAGGTAAATTTCAAAAATGAATATAGGTAAAATATAATAATCAAATGGCACGAGCAACGCTGGGTGCGGAAAATCTAGTAACAATAATAATAAGGAAGAACCGTTGTCTCCAAGTATCATACCACCTCGGACACCTTTGTAGTTTCTATGTACTAGTACTCTTACGAAAAACTTATTTCAATAATATGATTTTTAAATTATTAATAATAATACTTAAAAAAATAAAAAAAATAAAATGAGATTACGGTAATTATTTCTGAAGCTTGAAGAACGAGACCGAGGAATAACCGGAACCGGAACAATAGCATTTGAATTATCATTATTTTTCATATAATCAGGGAGTTCACCTTTATCTAGAAAAACAAATGAAAATTTAATATTATATATGATCATAATAAAAATTATATAGGTTTGTTTAATTTCATAATTTTATTTCAACAGATTAGTGTATTAAAATTTGTTAATATCACTAATAATAGTATTGTTATCAACGATAACAATAACCTTGTGTAATCGTATGCCTAATTGTTTGTTGATCTTTTGATTCACAGAATATAATGAAAACCATTATGAAGATATGTATTTAAGATGATATTACTTGATTGAAAATTATTCAGTTAGAAGATCTAGAGCGCCCCCAAATTTATACTTAAATTCTCTATAATGATCCAATCAGTTTTTTTTATAGTGTTGACTAAATATGAATCCTTACAGTCATTTTACATTATCATAACATATTACCATTTACCTAATGATGATAACTTGTATATAAAAAATAAAGTTAAAAAGTTACGATATATTTTTTTAAACAAATTTGTAAATTAAATGTATAATTGTTTATTATACGTCGTCTAAGGAACATTGTTGAGATGATGGCCCCATTCACATCACAAACCATGGGATCTGTGATGCGTCTATAACTAAACACCCCCAATGATAGTTGCCTAGTCGCACCTATGATGTCATTAGATCGTATACAAGTATTTAAAAAAATATTATTTGTTTATAGTTACAAATGACAAAATTAATGTAAAGGGACAACTAAGGACATAGGTGAATATTATATTATTTGATCATTAATTTTCTAAAATAATGGTTTGTTCAATTCTGTTCAAATTTAAAATTGTTTTAATAAAACGCGTAAGTAATTGATGCCGTACACTTTTCCTGGACCGACGATATCAAATAAATCAATTAATCGTTATCAATAAAAAATATACGTACAAACTTTCGTTATACTTATAATATTACAAGCCGTTTTTAACGTATATAAAATAATCTTTCTTACTAATATAGTCTTTATACATTTGTGGAGTGAATTTTGTCTTCGACACTTGAAAGATTGGCATTTCCAACCACCAATCACGTAACAACTTCAGACCCTCTATAAAAATGTAAAAAAAAAAGTGCTAATAGGAGAAATGTTAATAGTTAAGACCATTTTCAAGAAATTGCATTGAAATAAAAATTGTATACGCTCACTTTATGATATTGTACACACAATGGAATTAAAACAGTAACGTAACTTACTTTCTGTTATTTGATCTTTAAAAATTTTGTTTTGTAGACTGTGATCTTTTTTTACGCCAGTGTAACACACATGAAAAAGAAAAGAATACTTTATAATGAATAATTAATACAATTTGTATTTATTTTGTTTGTTTGGATTGAGTTTTCAGAGATTGACTTTGGTAACATTAAAATACAAATATGTATAGTACTTAATATTTTTAAGAAAATATTGTCCCTGTTTTCTTAATTATTCGTTTTAACAAGTCAACCTCCAAAACGATATTGCCCGTGACAACTGAATTAATTCATAGGTACACATGTTTAAATTTCTTTTAAGATTATTGTTTTGCGGATTGAATGTTACTAATATTCTTTAATAACCAACCCGTATAACCAAGGGAAAAATGAAATCAATAATACCAACATATATTTATATATATAAAAACAAAATCAAATTTCTGAATAAAAATTTAAACTATTTTCAGAAAATATCAGTGGAAAATAATATACCAGCTCACATCCTAATATTGTAAAAATATTTGAGTTAGAATCCGACAATATTCATCTGTTACAAGTCTATCAGTTATAGTCTATTTATAACTTACCGGATGATGTGTTTTCTTTTGAATTTTTGTCATGTTCACCACTATGATCTTTTTTCCCTTTCGTATCATGCAATAAATAATAAAAATATGTATATAAAGTTATTATATTCATATCATCAACAATATTCATTATGTCTAAAAAATCTAAATGCGATGGGCACTCATTAACAAAATAAATTAAAATTGGACGAAAGAAATTCACACGAGGTATTTCTTGTAAGATACAATTATTCTACATTACTATTGTAGATAATCGGGTCTATAAATTTTAAATACAGAGTTAATAAGTACCAATTTGTATTAGAATTTTGTAAAATTACTATTATTGACTCAGTTTATTGTAATGTATTTAATATACGTACCATTTTCTCGGTACTTCATGTAATCCAAAGGTATAGAACTCCACCATTCGTATATCAAATGACCCGCCACTAAAATAAGCAATACATTTATAACTTAGTTAAACATTTTTTGAAAAAAGAGTCGATACTGAGATTGGGGCGTTCCCTATTATAAGTAGGAACTCAAGAATGTAGAAAACTTAAAAGAGTTTAATATATATATATATGTACCAGCGGAATTGTAAACTTAAAATTTAAGTCTAATATATGCATCTTTAAAGTATCAACATGATGAAAGTTAAAATATTAAAAAAATTCTTGAATTTCATAGTTATCTGGTAGAAAAATTTAATCCTAAACATTTCAAATAGTGAAATCGTTAGCCTTGTTTTTAAAAAAATCGTGTTTTTCGTCCTTTTTGGTTCTTCCAAATTATTTTTTAAACTATTTTAAATATTAAAAAAAGGCTTTTTCTGTCAGTGGCTGGATATTGGATTGAACAAAATCGATCCCCGTTAATTATTCAATTGGAGCTAGATATCTGGTAGAAAATATAGTTTACAAATTTGAATAACCATGACATCTGTGATGTCGTTGCTTGCCGTTATACAATATTGGCTATATTAATAATAAAGATAATACGGCAATACTTTTATTTCCAATTATTTTAAAAACCCATTTAAAAATAAAATAAAAAGTAAACATCAGATTAAGCCAATATATCCCTCGCCTTGTACTAAAAATAAAATGTTATATTTAAATTAAAATACGCTTTCGGATTTAAATTTAAATTTGAAACTTTTTAGGTACAACCAATATGCGAAAATTGGATGTTTTTTACTATAACCACGGATACATTTAAAGGATCATTACTATTAAAAAAAAATGAAAAAGATAGATTAGGTTAGGCCTGATTTCAATAGGTAAACAAATTTAAAAACCAAATATATAATATGTGGCTGTTATCAAAGAAATATTTTAAATAATATTATTTTATAGCCTATATTAAATAATTAGGTAAATAAAATTAAACATTGAACGGTAAAATAGGTTTTCACGTATATTTTATTAGTAGTATGATAACTTACAGGGTGTCAGTTCTTCATTCTCATCTCCCAATGCAATCTGATTTATACCTTCATGTTTATCATCATCTGAATTGAAAAAAAAAATGTAAGTATATAAATATAAATAATTAATTAGTTTTAATTATATTATTAATAAAATTGGCATTGTCAAATCATTAAATAATTTAACGCATTTCCGACCCTAAATAGCCAAAACTAACCTAATAGCGTCATACAGCCTTTTAAATAGCTATGGTGACGGTTATTTTAATAACAACAACTTTATATTTTTGTAGAATTCAAATTATCTTATGTGAACGATATATCCGTATTTTCCGTTTTACTTGCAAAAAACCATGAAAAAACGCAACTAAAATGTTCTTCTTAAAATATTTTTTTCTATACATTTTATCATAAGTGATTTAATCCAAAATAAAAATTAAGATAGTTTTTTTCTTATTCTGCCTAATCATTCTTTTTGCATGTTATCTGGTAGCTGGACTAAGAGAAAAGATGTGGGTATAACATTAATAAACTCTTAATAAAAGAATTTAAGAACAACAGTCTTCAACCTTTCTCTAATTCTTCATCATTACGTGCCAAACTTAGAAGAAGGTCAAAAAAAAAAAAAATATGCCGTAACTTATTACAACGTTAAAATTTAAAAAGGTATAAATTAGGTTAAAGTCATTTAGATGTAGGATACAAAAATCAATCCATGGCTATTGTACTGAATGTGGCCATACTCCATTATCTTATTGTGCCGATCATTTTACGGATTTCTAAAAATAAAAAATATTACTCGGAAATTTTTTGAAATTGAAGATTTATCAAATATGTCTTTTATCTCAATTCAAAATAGGCATAATTAATATAAAATTATATAAAATCGTAACTCGTTAATTAATTTAAAGAATATTATTTTCATTCCATTCTTATGTTAACAATAAACGCGTGAATCTCTGCACCTCTAGAGAATCATAGTGTTATTACTTACGTTCATCTGATGACTCCACTTGAAACACCTAAATAATAGAGAACATTTATAATGTTTTTGTCTTTTACTTAGAAACAACACGTCATACTTACATATAACAAACATGAAAGTACAAGAATTAGTTGTTTAATTCCATTCATTGTGATAATTATATCTAAAACATTATCGATTAATATCGGTTTGAATTATAATGTTCAAATTACAAAATGTATATTGTTTTTTCATAATCGTTAGAATAAATTAAACAAATTATACAAGAAAGAAATATGAAGAACAAATAACACTTTATATTAATTTAAACTCTTATTATTTGGCATTAAATGTTATTAAAAATATAACGAGAACACGTGAAAATAAACGGTATAATCGTTAAAAATGGCATATATACTAAATTTTTGAATACTTGAATATTGCAATCTGGAGAAAAATAATATTCCATGAGGAAAAGAAATAAATTCGTAATATGAATAATAAAAGTATTAAACTTTATCTGTGTTAAATCGACTATGAGAGGCGATACGTGGGAATGGGTTTGATTAATT